AAAATTAACATTGGCCTACCGCTTGTACTAATAAAGTGCCAAGGGCCTAAGTGGTCACCTTAATATTTAAAAAAAAATAAAAATAAAAAAAAAATAAATATTTAAGAGAAGATTTAAGGGTGTTATTGCAAGAATATTTTTAAAGAAGAATATATTTATAGAAGTTGTATTGTAGAAGGGATTACAAGAGTATATTTTTATTTCAATTCTTTAATTCTTGTTATTGTTTTCAAGAGGCAGGAAAAAGGTTATATTTATATATTTTTTAGAGCTCAAATCTTCAAAACCAAAGATAGTGTTTGTAATGTTTAGAAGAACCAATAATATTTTGTTTACATAGTGCTTGTGGTGTTTTGGGTGGTGTTTGAGGTATTTTATATGTTATACGACTTTTTGTTTTGTTTCTAAATTGTTTATAATGTTTCTAAATTATTCTGCGACTTTCTATAACTTTTCTTTACTCTCCAAATCTTTTTATAATATTCCATGACTTTCTTTTTCTATATAAACAAATAAAAACAAATAAATGTATAACAAATAAACAAATAAACATATCAAAACAAAATAAACAAAACTAATCAAAACTAAATAAACAAAAAAAAAAATACTAAAACTATCTACAAACAATACTAAACTAATATCAAAATAAAAACAAACAACAAAAGAAATTACAAAAAAAAAGAAAAATCAGATAATATCAGTAACATTATTCTCTCTTTAAAATATGAGCTCCTGCAAATATTTTTTTAAAACTCGTCGGGAATAGTAGAATCGCCAGCTTCTTTTAAATAGATACGATAAGCTTCTTGTTTTAGCACCTCAAAATCAGAGTTATATATACGAGCTAAGACCCTGTAACTTATTTTTTCTGCTTGGTACAGATTCCAGATTCCTCAAGCATTGTATAGCTCAAAGGTCTTTTTAGCTACTTGAAATACTTCAGGTCCTTTTCGAGAACCAACTTCTTGTATTAAAAAGTTTAAGGTATTCTCGCTCCAACTTCTTATACAAAGAAGTTCACCAAGTTAATAGTACCATTTTAAAGATCGATAAATGGCCTTATCTTCATTTTTGAAGCATTTAATCTTCTTGCAAATAGATTGCACTTTATCTTCCCAGGAATAGCCAAAAACTTCTACCATGTCTTGTAGGCCAGTACTTGTAATAGGTTTCTGAAAGTCCTTGATATATAGAGGCAATTTTTGTCGAATCTTCTGAGCATCAGTAAGCTTCAAAGGGGCTTGCATTACTTGAGTTTTGCCTTGATAAATAATTTCTTTGGAAGTAATTATCATAATTGAAGTTGGATCCAATTTTTGTAATTCATGTTGAAGTTGTTCAGCCATTAGTCTTGTTATTCCAGGGAGTTGGGCCATTTTTTTCTTGGTTTCTTCTTCTTCTAAATCTTCTTGGTTTGGGTCCTTTCTTTGGTTTTCGAGTTTGTGTTTTTTTAATTTTTGTTTTTAGTAGAGCAAGGCAGAGATGAACTCTTTTTATAGAGATCTTTTTGTTGTCTTCATTATAATCTCTTCCTTTTCCTAAAAATTTCTAAAAGTTTCCATAAATTTCCTTAATTTTTCCGTAAACAATAAAAATTTTCCTTATTCTTCTTTAAGTTTATATTGTTTCGATAAATTTGGTTTGCTCTATTATTTTCTTTACTTTTATCACATGTTATAATTGTTCTAGTGATTTCCATTATCCAAATTTGTATATCCCATCAAAATATACCAAAAATATACCAAAAATGATACAAAATTACCAAATATAACACCACATGCTTCAACCTTATTTTGACTAATTGTTCCCAGTACAATGTCTAAAGAAATAAACAAAAATAGAGATAATCTAAAAATAAAATAAACAAACAAGCAAAATAATAAAGAAAAGTATCATATGCTCCATCACCCGCATATGATCATCATAATCCTCCACTATAATATTGTGCCTAATGAAAATAAAATATAAAAATCTAGAAAATAATATCAAGGTTTTTAACTAAATTAAGCATATTGTTGAAAAAGTTTTTTTTTTTTTTGTTAAAATTTCTATTATATATATATAATAATAATTTTTTTTTTTTTTATCAACTTTAACAATAAATAACCAATAATAATAATAATAATACTAATAATAAAATGCCTTGTACTCGTATTTTTTGCGCTGTTCATCATGCTCGTTGTAATGGTAATGAGGCCCTCTATAAAGCTCTTGGTAAGGTGCAGAACCAAAATAGAAGGTAGATATTCATAAATCTTTATAAAAGCCTTAAATAAGATATTAATTTGTAATTTATATTAGGTTGTAGCATGAAGTCAGGTTCTTAAGAAAAAGAGTTGCATTGTTGGAAGCGAAGTTGGAAAAGATTCGGTTTTGGGATGCAGAGTCGGTAGAAGAAAATTGGAGGAGAGATGAAGAGCATTGGCGAGTTGTTTAGAAGAGAAACCAGTTGTGTGTTTGGCTTATTGAGTTGGAGAGTTATATAAATAATATAAATTTGAATAAGAAGTTTGATTTTTAAATTTTTTTTTTCATATTGTTTTCTTTTTCTCTTTTTTTTTTTTTTTGTATATATATATATATATTTTAAAATTTTAATAAAAATAAAATAAATAAAAAAAAGCAACCATTTAAATATTTCAACTAAGAGCCACACTGAACTCAGTACCTAGCAGGCAGCTCTCTCAGCCGGTCTTGAACCCGGGTCTGTATAATGATAGCCCTCTGCCGTAACCGTTAATCTATATTCAGATGATATTAAAAATTTTTTTAGCTACCCCTTATAATCATTAATTTAAGTAATGATCTTTCCAATCATAATGCTTGCTTTCACGTGGAGCCTATTTATAGAAGATCATTAATGATCTAGCCATATCTAACCTTCTATAATAACTTGTAATATCGGTAGTGGTTTTTGATAATAAAGTTTTAATCAGTCACCATTTATAGGTTCCTTAAGTATTTTTCAGTCTAATGTTCGTAACTTGTATACTCTATTGCTTAAAACTTCATGAATATAGTAAGGTTCTTTCCATGGGTCTATTAGCTTTCTTCTTTCTTTTAACTTGCTTCGATATAACAAGACAAGATCTCCAATCTTATATTTAATTATCTCTTTTAAATTCTGATCATGCCTTTTCTTTTGGTACTCCTAAGATCTTTTAATATTTTTTTAAGCTTGTATATGATCTTCTTGTAACTTTCCTATTAATTGATATATTCTCCGCAATAGAGTTTCCTGCTCATCCTCTCCTTTCTCTTGAAATGCATGAGTTTCAACTTGAAATTCTACTGGCAAGATAACTTCTCGTCCATAAGTTAAATAAAAAGGTTCATGCCAAGTTGTATTATGCTTTATAGTCCGATAAGCAAATAGCACAGAAGGTATATACAAATTCTAATTATTTTTGTTTTCATTCGAAAACTTTGCCAAAGTCTTGCATAAGGTTCTATTAAATTGTTCGACAAGCCTATTTGTTTGTGGATGATAAGCAGAGGATAATTTATGCTTAACTCCAATTTCTTTGTATAGAGTATCCATTATCTCATTAACAAAATGAGTTTCTCTATCAGTAAGTAGAACTTTTGAACATCCATGCCAACAGATTATATCTTCATAAAAGAATGTAGCAACAGAGTCTTAGGCAAGGCTCGAGCTTCAGACCATTTTGTTAAGTAATCTGTTGTAACTACTATGTATTTATTTCCTTTATTAGTCATAGTTAGTGGTCCAACAATATCTATTCCAATACGATCAAAAGGCTGTTCAACTTTAATTGGATGCAAGAGCTCTGTTCGGATAGGTTTGCCTCTTCGTTGACATTCTTCACAAGTTTGTATATACTTCTTAATATCATCATATATCTGTGGCCAGTAATAATGTATTGCTGTTTTTCGATAGGTTTTATTAATCCCAAAATATCTAGCAAGAGGATCCGAGTGCAAGTTATAAAGAATAATATCAATTTCATTTTGCTTCACAACTTTGAGAGGTCTTGTAGGTTCTTTTTTGTTCTTTTTATATAATTGTTTTTCTATAACAATAAAATATCTTGATTTATTTTTAAGAGCTTTAATCTCCTTTTGTTCTAAATTTTTGGGCCAAGTGTGGTCTGTTAAATACTGCACAAGGGGATAATATATATTTAAATCCATAAGTGTCTGTCAAAATCAAAAGCCGAAATCCAAAAGTGAAGTCCAAATATAATATTGCCGAGTTATAAAATCCACTTTTTTTCTTTTTGTTGTTGTACTAAACTTGTATTCGACTAAGAGTATCTGCATTGGTGTGTGCTTTTTCAGGTCAGTTTATAATCATAAAGTCATAGCCATTAAGAGTCATAAGCCATCATCCAAGTTTTCCAATTGGGTTTGTTATGTTTTTGAGATATGCAAGAGCAGCATGGTCTGTTATTATAGTAAACTTTTGTCCATGCAAATAATGATGAAATGTTTAATAGCCCAAATTACTGCTAGACACTCTAGTTCAGTAATTGAATAGTTCTTCTCATGGATATTAAGTGATTAACTTGCATAGGATATAATATGTTCTCTATTATTATTATCTTTTTATGCTAGAATTGCTCCAAGCCCAATTGTTGATGCATTTGTATATATAATGAATGGTTTTTCAAAATCAGAATAAGCCAAGATGGGTGATGTAGTAAAACATTGTTTTAGCTTCTGAAATGCATTTTGTTGGTCTGTAGTCCAAATATAGTTCATTTTCTTTTTTAGCAGTTGATTTAAAGGTTCAGCAATCTTGGAAAAATTCTTAATAAATTTTTGGTAATATGAAGCTAATCCCAAAAATTCTCACAGTTAAGTAGTATTTTGAGGTATAGGGAAATTTTGTACTGCTTTAATTTTCTCTAGATCTGTTTGAATTCCATTTTTACTAATAATATGTTCAAGAAAAGGAAGTTTTTTTTGAAAAAGAAACATTTTTCAGAATTAAGCTTAAGTCCAGCATTTTTAAGATGAGTAAAGACTTCTTTTAAATGATTCAAATGCTCTTCAAATGTTTTTGATCCTATGTTAATATCGTCAATATACACTACAACAAATTTTCAAAGTAGATCTCATAGTATATTGTCTATAAGTTGTTGAAAAGTAGCTAGCACATTGCATAATCCAAAAGGCATAACTGTAAACTCGTAAGTACCAAATTGTGTAATAAATGCAGTTTTTTCTTGATCTTGAGGGTTTATAGGTATCTGCCAAAATCTACTAGTCATGTCTAAAAAAGTAAACTATCTTGAATATGCTAAAGCCTCTAGCATATCATCAATTCGTGGTAATGGATAATTGTTCTTTTTAGTAACTACATTCAGTTTTCTGTAGTTTACACATAATCGTAGCTTTCCATTTTTCTTTTCAACAACAACTACAGGAGAGGTTCAAGGGCTACTTGAAGGTTTAATCAATTCTTGTTTTAGTATTTCTTTTATTTCTTGCTCAATAAATTTTGGTTCTTGTAAGATATTCGATAAAAGTTCTGCTTAATAGGAGGTCTATCAGTTTGTATAGCATGAGATAGAACTTTGGTTCGTCCAAATTTATAAGGTTCCCAAACAAATAGATCCTCATAATTCTTTATGAATTTAGTAAAGGCGTGAACTTGATTATTTTCTAGTTCTCTAAGATTGTAAACTCCCTTTTTGATTTCTTCTGGTTCATTATTTTCCTAAAAATAGAACTCTCTTTCATATACTTGTTTAATGATCTTCTTTTCAATTCTTTCAGCTTCTTCTGCATAACAAAATAAACTTTCATCTTCTGGTGTTTCAGATTCATATTCCTCTTCACTCTCATCTTCATCATCACTATCCTCAATAATTACTTCATCTTCATCTTTTTCCTTTTTTATTTCAGGAGCTTCAATACTGACTTCATGATGTAGAGCTTGCTTTGATTCAACAGGTACTTCAATAGTTTGATTATCCCAATATAAGATTATGTTATTCTTATTATAATTTATAGTTGCTTTCATTTTCTGTAACCAATCATTTCCTACTATAGCACTATAAGAATTGGATTCTGTAATAATAGCATTAAAAGATATGATATTCTCCAACTTTTAAAAAAATATCAGTTACTGATCCAAGAGGCCTTCTTCTCTCTCCATTTACATTAATCATCACTGTTTTTGAAGCTTGTATAATTTCCATATCTAAATTTTTTAACAAGTTAAAAAACATAATGTTGCTAGCAGATCCTGAATCAATAATAAGAGAAAAGCGAATATGTTTAATAGAAGCATTACAGTAAAGAGCTGTAGAACATTTATACTGGGTTTGAGATACAAGTTCCTCTATAGGTTGATCTTGCTGGTTTTGATAAGTTGATGATGCTGTTGCTTTTGATTCTTCTGGTTTTTGCTCTCTATTATCTAATTTTGTTTCCAAGTTGGCTTGATCTATTTTTTTTACTATTGGCTTCTTTAAATGTTTAATAACTACTTAGCTGAATTTGGGGTTTATAGCTAATAATTATCCATTTGTAATATTTGCTGCCTAATCAAAGAATTGCTGAGGTATATAGAGCTTAATTATATGATGAACTGGTGGTAATAACGGCCGTTTCTTCTTTTTAGTTTTTGTTGTTTTTATTACTTTTTCTTTACTCTTGTCTTGTTTTTCTTCTTGCTTCTTTGTAATTTCTTTTGTCTTTTGTCTTTTTGCAGGATAGGTATCTAGAAATACAATATTTGAGGGAATTGAAGAAGGGCCAGCAACATTACCCTCCGGATATTGGCCTTCTAGTTTAAAGGTTGTTGTGACTGGACTTGTAGCTGAATCGAAGGTTGAATTAGTACTTGAGGTTGAGATTGAGATTGAACTTGAGATAGAATATGTAGTGCATATATGGGTTGTTGTGGTTGTGTTGAGATTTGATGAATAGGTTGTTGTACTAATTCATTATTATCTTGAGGAATTAGTTGAGCCAAAAGGTGAAGAAGTTGTGTAGCTTGATTGCCTTGATGTTGGGG